CATTTAAGAAGAACGATTTATGCAATAAAAATAATTAAAAATAAAAAAGTGTTAAGACAATGCTCGAATTCAAGGGTCAATTATATCGGTTAAGAAAAATAACTATATATTTTTATTTGTAGAAAATTCGAAAAGCGTACAGTTTCGAAAATATATGGTGTCGAATATTAGAATTTTACAAATTTTCGTGAGACGAAAATCTGCTAAGATTTTAAATCTAAAATAAGAAAAAAAACAACCTTCGGTCTAGAAGAAAAAATGGTATCAAAAATTTAGCAAAACAGAATTTAGGTAACTGTTTTTTAAAGTTCAAATGTGGTATAAGAGGAAGTCACTACTTTTCTACGTTTTCAGAATCAAAAAAATGATTGTGGTTTTGTTATAACAAGTTGGTTTAGGGTTTTGTCGGGCTATAACTTTTAGAAGGAGGGATAAGTAAAAATTTTCTTCTACGAAAGTAAGTTTCTATTTAGAGATCTATGTACAATCGAAATTTGTGCTTTCTATCTTTCAAAATTTTTTTGGAAAAGTGCTTAAAATTGATAAATAATTCGGCAAGCTACAATTATCGAGCAATAATTTATACAAAAATGTCTTGCATTGCATACTTTACGGCTGCACTGAATTATAAAATTCAGAAAATTGTATTCCAAAACTTACTTTAAACTGAGGTTGGATAAAGAAAAACCTCATAAAATCCCAAAATATAATTTAAATTTGTCAGGCTCTGGACTATTAATTACGGTAGCAAACTACATTGCTAACAATTTTACTGTTCACAATATAGTTTACTATACAAAAATATTAATTAAATCTGTAATATATAAAAAATTTAATAAAATTTGCTTTTTCTAAAATATCATTTTCATAAATTTCATTACAGTTTTATTAAAAATTCAAAAAAATAAGACAAAACAACAACAACAACAAAAATAAATCAAATTATGTATACGATTTTGTTTTACATATTGATTTTTATCAATTTTCTTAATTTGCATAAAAGAAAAATATTTCGAAAAAAAAAACTGTAATAATTACACTTTTCTTAAGCGATTAATGATTGCAAATGTATGCATTTTTTATTACCCATACCCATAATTCGTAACAACCGCACACCATCGTCTTATCAATTTTGCATTAATTTTCCTTTTTTTTTTTTCTATTTTTCTTTTTCTTTTCGGAATATTTACTGGTACAACTTTTCATTTTAACCCAAATATTAAACGATACAATTTATCTAAAATGCGTTAACGTTATAATATGATTTTATATTATTATAGTGTTGGTGGTGTGTTGCTGGTGATTCTAAAAGCGTAATTTAAAAAATAACAAAGAAAAAAAAAAGAAACCTGTTTACATTTTTTATTACGCAATATTGAAGTTTTACTTTATTTTGGTATATTAAATTTTACACAAATGTGTTGTTCTTATACGCGCTACAATTTATATATAAGATTTGAAATTTAGATGAACGCACTCTATTCAAATAAACAAAAAAAAGTAAGGCTTGGCCCTCAATACTTTTTTTAGATTTTTATATGATATTTTTTTAAACTCTTATTGCATTCAAAAAGATATTGTACTAGGACTTGTATACAAGGACTACAGCAATTTTAAGTGCTTTTGTTAAAGTAAAAAAATAATTGAAGCACTAGTACATATATCTAAGACTGATTTCATAAAAAAAATTTGAGTCAAGCAGTTGATAATTAGATTTGCAAGTTAGTTTTGATTCTATTTGCAAATTATTTGTAGCTACTGCCATTCAAATTGTCGATTCAATGGTGCATCAAATAATTGTGCATGGAAAAGCTCTAGTATCTCAAAAAATTGCCTTATTTCAGCCCACAATTTTCCAAAATTAAATTGCCCTGCATTATAAATCTTTGAAATGTTAAGTAATATTGATAATTTCGATTATTGTTTTGGTCACACTCTTCAAACGAAACTTAAAATTTCCAAAGAATTACTTTCATGCTAACAAAATTGAATAACTAATTCGATTGCGGGACACAAATTATTTCAATTGCAAAATAACTAAAAAATATCAAGAAATTTCTTAACCTCAGAGTTCTTTTAATTGCTTATACACCCTATTGAAATTTATTTCTGAATTTTGAACACATTTATTTAAATTTTATGTTCGCCAAAACATTTATTGCGTTTATTAATGGCTTAAAACAAGATTAGAAACATAAATAAAAAGAAAATTAATTTTCAAAAAAAAAAAAATTAAAAAACAAAAAAAAAATCTGCGTACTATCGCACCATAAGATTTTTTTTATTTTTTATTTTCGGTGATTTTCAAATTTATTAATAAATTATATCATATGATATTGGAAAAATTTATGCAATATTCTCTAGTAGAGACCGACCAATCAGTTTGAAAAGTCATTTATTGCAAAAAAAAAAATGCATACATTTTTTGTTGTCGATTAAAAATGCGTGTGTGCGCAATTTTATCGTTTTTCAAAAATTTTATAATTAAAAATTTCAGTTTTTTTTTTTCTTATGATTCATAATTTTAAATAGACCACATATGCATATGTACATTAGGCTTTTAAAATATTATAAAAAAATTTTTATACTTTTCAATTAAAATAAAACTTTTGAAAATAAATTTAACCTCACCCAATATGTTTCCATTTTATACAGACTCATTATACAAAATCGAGATCAAACTCAAAAATTTACTACAATATACTCGTATTATTAGCCAAACTCCGTAGTTCTTTCAGATAATTTTTATGAAAAAAAAAAACCCTTTTAGTTAATTGAAAATTTCGTGGTTTGATTTAAAAATTATTCGGCACATTTTAAGAGCCACTTTCTTAAAAAATAATGTTTTCGTTAGTAAAAGCAATAGAAAATGTATATATTGGCGAGTGACTAGGTATTCTTTTGAAAGGATAGGCGGAAATGTTTAATAGCGATTTTTTATTTTGTTTGCATTTAATTAAAACTATGAAAGTCTTCAATAAATTGTCTACCTTTAGAATGCATGATTTTTGATTAATTTTAATCAAATTCTAAACAAAAATTAAGTTTCGTATAGGAAACGAATGATAAATTTCAATGTTTTGTGAAAGTGACGCAATAATTCGTTTCAATATCCAACATGAAATTGAGTCAGTTGATTTTTTTATCGTTTAACCTATAATACAGAAAGTGACGCCCGAACAACACTTTCAAATTATTAAAATTTAACAAGCATTAATCAAGAATGCAGTTGGTGAATATTTCATTAGACATTTTACAATACCATTTGGCCGCCGAGATAAAACCATCTGAGAGTTTTAAAAAACTTATTTGACAACAGTTGCAGTTTTAGAAAACAATATTGAACAAATAATTGACGATTAAATATATCTATACAAAAAATACTTTAAGTATAAAAACCGAAATCTTATTTTAGATCACAAAAACGATTTAAATAGAATCGAACCGCCCAACAAATGACAAAAGTAGTGTACTAATTATATCTAATGTACACAATATTTCAAATTAATATGCTCTTACTTAGATTTTCATCTATTCAGGGGTTTCAGTTTCTTAGTATTGTTTATTGGATTCAGCCCCGGATCTACCATACATGCAAAGTAATCATGTGCAATGAGCGGTGGAAGACAGGGCGCAATTATTATGCGCAATGTGTAATATTTGCATATTATTCTTTTATTTGAAGGCGGGAGAGCACTCTTTTTGGAAAACGCGTAAGGCACCGAACAGGTCAGAGCCGGACCTGATTGGATTGTATCCACACTGTGCTTTTGAATATAAAATTTATGAGTAAATCATTTTATTCAAAATTTTAAATTTTTATTTTATATTTCATTTTTTCAAGGTTCCTTTTATTACTGTAAGATTAAGTGCGTATTCGTTCTATATATGGAATAAAATATTCATTTTTTAAAATTCTTATTTTATGTTCTCATATAGTGTAATGGCAATGCTCAATTCTATTATCAAAAGTATCAAAAATATTTTAATACTTAAAGAATTTTTTTTTAATCAAAATCATTAAAATATTAAAAATTTTAAAATTTATCTAGAAAAATTAAGCGATTTAAATTCATCTGAACCAATTAAAAATTTTAATTTTTACTTTTTTTCAGACTTGAATATCAATATTTTTCTTTACATGTTTACATGTTTATATATAGAACATTTTATCAACATGAACAAGTTTAATTACATTAACCACTTAAATAAAGTGACCTTCATACAAAAATTATTTAAAATTGTAAAAAAATATTTAAATTAAGATTAAGAATTTATAAGTAATTTTATTAGTTCTATGGTTATAGACATGTTCTTCAGATTTTAAAAATCTCAAGATTTTAACTTAAATTGTAATTTTCAAAATATTAATAAGAAATTTTTAAAAATATTTTAGAAAGGGTTAAGAAGCTACCACAACAATAATTTATTATTTAATCGAAAACCTAGTTCTTCAGAATAAGTTTTTGATAATATTGAAAATGAAATTTGTGGAAGAATTTCAAGCAATTCTAAATGCAGGGACATAGTTCTTCTAAAAAAGTGTTTTGCTAGATTTAAATAATGAAAAATTTTCACATTGTATTTTTTAGTGAACAAAACTGCCACAGTTAATTGTAATAATTATATAAGTTATAGTAAGTAATTGGCAAAAATTTTATTAGAGCTATCAAAAAAGTATATTTTTTCTTTGTAAAGAGCATGTGTGTAGCTCTATATTAGTCGCCGGTTACAAATTCTTTATGAACAATTTTGAAATACTTAATTTTTTAATACAAATTTTATGTAAAAATTATTGCTATTTCTAGAACTCTTGAATTCCTTTAAAAGTCTCTCTTTTAAAAGTGTAGAATTAATAATTGTTTTTCTTTTTATAAAATTAACTTGTTATACATATTCTTGAAGAGCAGTGGAATCAAACAAAATATCGTTTTGACTCAATAGTACAAAATATTTTGTCACTTCAAATAGTTATCAATAATAATTTCACTTTTACCTACCAATGTGTGATATTTTTTATATCTATATCCTCTTTCCAAATGTAATTTAATGTAATCCTTGATATGAAATTAATTTAATTATTTTTTTGTATCCAAATAACGATTTTAATTAACAAAAATCCATTTAAGATATTGAAAATTTTTTTAAATTTAATTCGAGTATATTTTCTTTATTATTTTTCTTTTCTTACAATTTGCTTTTTTTTTGTCCGCGTACCGTCAATTCGTATCGAAATGTAAAAATAAACTAAAGTTAATTTCATTTCTGCATGCTAATTTTAATTTTCATAAGATAAAAGAAAAAACTGCAAAAACATAAAAAATAAAATAAATCAAGCCCTCAACATCCTCAAAATATGAAAAGTGTAATATCGTCGAAAGTACTGTCAAAAATGTAAACATTTTCTTATCTACATTCATTCAATAAATTATTATTAAGTACAAAATAATTGAGAATTAATTTCAGCAACATGTTGCTTAAGTTTTGTTTATGTAATAATAGGTTCATACATTTTGTATGAAATGAATGAGAAAAAGAATTGCACAAAACAAAAATGAAGTAAAAAAGAGTAAAAAATTGATGATAGTAAAAATTCTCTTTTAAGCTTAAGTGCAATAAGCTGAATTTTTGGAAAAAGAAAAAGAAAAAATTTAACCGAATTGAAAGAGTGTGGGGATTTTTGTAAACATATAAAAAAAAAAAAATAAACAAGAAAAAAAAAATTACCGGTTACTGACAGAAAAGTGAAAGTGTTTTTGTTTTGAATGTCAGATATAAAATGTATCAGAGAGAGAATAATTATTATTATTTTAATGCTGTTGAATGTATCAGAGAGAAAAAAATACTTTTTATTAAGAATGATGCCATATCTATACAATGGAAATAATTTAAATGTGCCTAAGTATATTTTCCGCGTTTCATTTGCCCAAGAGTATTTGGAAGTATGTAGCAGATAATTTGAAAGTGAAATGTGAAAAAACTTTTATTTAGCTGTGAAAATTAATCTATAACTTTAAATATCGAAGATGTAAATTTTACTTTCCTTATTAAAATGCGAAGCAACTACCGCAAGAAATGTGGTTAACTACTCACCTTCTTAGTATAAGGTTGTTTAGTTGGAAGTAGATTATGGTTAGAATGTTATCGCATACTACGTTATTATTTGGGTGATATATTTTATATATAATACTTTAAGTTGCATGCTACTATTTCTTACAACAATGCACATTGGTATATACATAATACCAATACTATTTCTTCAAAGTCAATTACTATATTGACAAAACAATATTAAAGGCACAAAATATTGCGATTTTAATGAAAAATGTTATTAAACCTTTCTACGAAAAGCGATAAATAAATTATAATTTGAAAAATGCGTTTTGGATTTTTTTTTCGCTCAAGTTAAAATTTAAAAGGCTTAAGGGGTGTAAACATATTGCTGCAATAATATTATTTTTCATATTAATTTTATGTGTTGAACAAAGTTTAATGTTGAAAAGTGTGTAAAATGATTGATTAATGATTAAATTATGAAGATTTTGCAAATATATAAATTGCAATATAATTGATTTTGTTGAATAATAACTATAAATAATGTAGTTGAAGTAGGAAATCTTATGAAATTTAAAAATGATGAGAATACATAAGGAATTCTGTAAGGTATAAATGATCTATAAATGAAATGATTGAACTCAAAATCTTTGAAACTAAATTGAAAAAGTTTTAAGTAAATATTGATGATTTATAATTTGCTAACCAAGTTGCATATTATGTAAGACCATGTATAGTGAAATGCACTTAAAAAACTAGTATGATAGTTTGAGTAATTTATGAACTTTGCCGGAATTTTAAGAGCCTTGCGGTGAAAAAAATTTTAATATCTTAATATTATGCGTGATTTACATTTTTATTTATTATAGGGAATAAAGGGTAATATTAAAAATTTTATAGAAAGCATGTTAGTAAATGCAAATTAATTTGGATTCAGTTCATGGTTTGTTAAGAATAGCACCCATACTTAAGTGCTACCTACTAATTATCACAACTCCTTTATATATTTTGTTTTCGTTCTGGATTTTTAAATATTAGTGTATATATGTATGTCTTAATAGTGCCTTATAATAGTTATTATTAGACTTGCAAACGTTGCACTCTCGTAAGGTAATCACTGACGTGGTTTTTATTCATCAACCGGTTTCAGAGAATGTTGTTTCGTCATTTTGTTTGAATCAGGTATTTTTTAGAGAGAATTCGAATAACTTGAATTAATGAATAACTCAATGAAACTTTTCAATGTTCGTCAACACTGCAAGGATTATGATAAGAATGAGCTGATAACTAAAATGTTGCGTGCTACCAATTCTAACTGTGGTTATTTTAATTAACCGTTGCTTATATTATCAGTAGTATTGTGGATCAACGCTTTTTTGAAAACATTTTTGTGTATTGCCGATATTATTAGATAATTTGATAGCTGCATAGCTCTAAATGATGGTTGTTTTGTCTCTGTCATACAATATTAAATTGCATGATAATTGGTGCTTGGCCTAAGCAATTCGTTCGATATATACATAACAAGCTTAAATAACAATTGAATATAAAAATATTATTGGTACTTACATTTTTTACGCAACTTCTAAATAAAATTATCTTTAAAACATAATACCGTAATCAAAATTTTATCGGGCGCACCTTGATATTTTTTTGGATTAAATGTGTTAATGCTGATAAATAAATCAACAATTTGGTTTTATTGAACTCTGATCGGACCATAATTAAGAGACTTATACATATAAACACATATTATGGAGTTTCTTTTATAAGATTTTTGTATATGTATAATACCTTTTAATCCTTGCTCTACTTCAAAAGAAATAAATTTAAAATTAATAAAGAAAAATTTTTTAATTTAATTTGGAAAAAAAAATTAAGAATAAATGTAATTTACCTAAATTATGAGATTTGATCATGAAATAATTTTGTGCTATCTAAATTACACTATATTATTAAATAATCAAAATATTGGAATATACTTTGGAATAATGAAAAAAGCAAGACAGCGAATGATTTATAAATTTTAGCAGCAAAATAATTACTGTGATCACAATAATCAAGTTGGTGGTCATTCTCTACATCCTATACAATAAAATTATTTTGACATATTGTGGAATAATATGATTACAGAAATTTTGAATCAACTTGGGACTCAAACTAAATTGCAGCAATATTGTATTGTACAAAATGTAATTTGTAAAAGTAAATGAAAATTTGCTGAATATCTTGTTTTACCAGTGTTATACTGCAATTCGGATGTCAGGGAAATAATTTGCAATTTTAGTTTTATTAAAATCAAATTTCTTATTTATTGAAGATTAAATTCACAATACTGAAAGTTACGGCAAGGTTACAATGGTCATAAAATTTTATCATTTTTTTTCCGATTTCTTATTAAAATATCATTTTCGCGTGCAAAATTTTTTTTAACCTATTTATGAATATTTGCCATAAAATTTAGTTGCTAATTTTTTTTCTAAAAAATAAAAAATTTTTGTTCATATTCAGATGTTAAAATGCTGTGAGAAATGTAAATATTAAATGTATATAGCTATACATATACATGACTTGTGTTAAAAAGGCACTACATAACTCTCATCTTCTATTATAAAATGTAGGTAAATAATATTATGTGTGCAAAAATTATGTTTGATTAAGTAATTTTTTTATGAAAATATTTTTTTAATTTAATTTTTGCATAGTTTTTTAGGGCACTATTAAATATAATAAATTTTTTTTGACACGCGAATATAATGTGTTATAAGAAGATATCACAAATAAAAAAATTTTTGAATAATATGAATTTAATTTTATATATGAAATACCCATGAATTTTCATTTTTTAGATGATTGTTGAATAATACAGAGAATTGGCAGACAGAGTGAAACTAATAACCACATTTTGTTTTAAATTTTTGTTTATGTTAAAATAATGCTGAAAATTTGAATAGCGCAGGCTCACATCTAATGCGTAAACTTTGATTTAATTTAAAATATGTTACTGATTACTGAAATTGAATAAAAGTAAATATTTTGAAACTTTAGTCAAAAGAATCGAATATCATCATAAACAATCAAATATGACCTAATGACCAAATTCTTAAAAAAATTTATAAAATTTCCATGACATAATTTAAGAATAAATACTTTTGGTTTCAGATTATCAAAAAACCAATTCAATCATTGTTCTTTACACTGTTGTACTCATTAAGTTGTATTAGAAATCAATGAAATTTCTTATTTATTCTTATTAAGATTAATAATAAATATAAACAACTACACGTTGTATTAGTTTTTAGTATTATTAGGCACCTATTTATATGTTCTTGTGATTATGTGTTTCAAATAGAAAATTGTATGTAGCGTCTTACGCAAACAATACTTGGCAATCATATAGAGTACTGTATAAAAGAATGTGAAGAACAATTTGCCGGCAATTTCTTCATACCTCTGTAGCTCTGTTGGTAGCGCGCCTTCCTAGTATGCAACTTGACTCGAAACAGATTGAAGCAAAAAATTTTTTAAAGAAATTTTCATTAGTTAGGTATGATAATTAAAGAATGAACAACAATTTTTTGTAATATTTATAACTAAAACAAGAATATGTGTAATATTTCCTAAATAAGCAAGAAATCTGTTAGATACCTATATACATTTTTCTTTTTGGAATACAAAAATGAAATAAATTTCAAAATTATTTGTAAATTTTCTAATTTTTCTTATATCTATTTTTAGAAAATTAAATCATGTTAAAATGTTAAGAATCGCTTAAAAATAATATTGAATTCCTGTATAAGCCATATTTGAAATATAATTCAATTAAATTTTAAATTGTACAAGAAAAATAGGTAAGTGAAAATTCCTTAAAAGAAATTTATTTAATTAAAAACCTATTTGATTTTTTTTTTTCATTTTCACCCCATAGTTGTCAGTATTTTGCTTTTTGCTATAGCACTTGCTATAGGTTATGGGCAAATAGGTTTATAGCAAAATAATTTTTATACCATAGATTTAACAATGTAAAATCTGTAGTTTTAGAAGAATAGTGATTTTGGAAGAACAGAAAAACCAAAGTGTGTGACCGTATGTTTTTTTATAAAAATTAAAATTTTCATTACGGGTACGGACTGTAATCTTTTTCGGAAAAATTT